TTTTTTTTAAACTGCAAAAAAATATGTTTTCACTTTAAAAAAAAAAAGAAAAATTTTGTTTTTAAAAAAAATCTGACACAGATGTTCAGTTAAGTCCAGAAATGCTGTGATTGAGAAGCTGTGGTCACCTCTGGGGTCACTCTATACAACGGGGTGTTTTGGTTGAAGTGATGGACTCAGTTGGCGGTGAGTGTCAACTTCAGAGAACAAAATAAAAACAAGTTGCCAGAAATGAATCTTTCCGGACTGTGCTTTTTTATCCATGAGAGCACACTGGAACACACACACACACTCACACACTCACGCGGGCCTTGGTTACCATAGCTACAAGTGGTGGACAGTTGGTTGGAGCACAAGCTGTGCTGATGAGGAAGGGAAGATGTTACCGACGTCCCGTTTTATGTGATGGAGCGTTGGAATGTAGTTACTATGGTTACCCCAATATTGGCGATTGGCGTTTGGAGTCGAAGTTTCCTCCTCCTGCCCGGGACGGCAGAGGAGGTGGGACCCACGTTGGCCCTGTCGCCGTGGAAACCAAACGGCAGCTTTGTCATTTTTTCTTTCTTTTTTTTGGGAACCTGCATGTCTTTATTTAGGTCGGGGGATGGATGGATTACAGCATCCTTCACTCCAGCTCTCTGCATCATCCCAGTGGCCTCGGCCTATCGTCTCTCCTTCCTCATCCTTCTTCTGCGTCATGCCTCCTGCTACCTTTCTCTGCTTTAGCTCCTCGTCCTCCGTCCATGAGTGTAAACATTTGCAAGATCAGCAGCTCGAGAGTTTTACAAAAAACAAAAAAAACAAGACGAAGGAGACAGAAGGATCCATTATTTATAAAGCGGATCACCACACAGGAATTGGTGATAACGCGTGTGTCCGAGCTCTCCTTAAAAAGCGGGAGCTTATCTTTGCATTTTACCGTCTGGGTGCTGAATCAGCATCCACATGATCGTGTTCCCGTTTTTATCTCTTTTGTGAAAGCGTTTATGCCATCCCACTACTCTACTACTTTTTGTTACTCTTCTTCCATACATTTTTGAATGCTCAGTGCTTTTGCAAACTTTCAGTACACACACATATATATATATGCATATATATTATTATTATTAAATATGATAATATGTTATAGTCATATATTATCATTCAAGATATTTATAAATGTATCTTGAACCAATCCCATTTTACATTTGCAGTTATTTTTTCTGGCTATTTTTTTTTATACCATTGACCTTTCTAAAGCCAAAACTTTAGCATCTGATTTTATCCATTTTTACCAAGTTTTCTTCTTCTCGAACTGCTTGAGCGCTTTAATTCAGCCTCAAGTTCTTCCACAAGCTCGTTTCAAATGACAGTGACTGGGAATAAAACTCAGTAACACAGCTTTGAGTGAATTCGTTAGCTGTTTCTCAGGAACCAGCTTTTTCTCAGCTTTTTAAAAGGCAAATGTTTTCTTACTGCCTCGCATGTCACTAACACAACTCACTTCTCTTTATAGTATAGAATCAGTTTTAGGACAGTGCAGGGTCAGCTTTACACAAATTATTGATGTGGCTATTTTTCGCGGTGAGTCTTTAGGAATAGATGAGTCTCTCAGAATAGTTTGCATACGTACGGAGGCAGGCAAGATACATATAAATGTCTGATGCTCAGTATGAACAATGTCTCCATATCAGATAAGATCATTGGAGACTAGAACAGCTTAACATTTCTGCTGCTTTGACTAAATGTTCATATCTTAAGTATAGCTCCAAAGGGATCATCTTGATGACTCGATGATGGTTAGCCATTTTCACACTGGAAACGTGGAAACTATTTAGCTTGTTTGTATGAAAATGAGTGTTAGAGTCCAGATTTTTCGCTTTAAAAGATGATACTGCATTTATTGGTTCTTAGGAAAGAGAATGCATTATGTTTAGCCTTAATTTGAGATTAGCCGGACAGTTTTGCATGATCAGATAAAGACAAAGTTTGACGCAAATAAACTTAATAAGCATTGAAGCATGGTATATTTAAATTATATATATATCTATATATCTATATCTAACACCTGTACTGACAGAGCAATCCTACTCTCACAGAAATCCGTTCTCAGACTACCACATGGAAAAATAGTCGACTAGTTATTTATTTCTAAAATGCTCCAATTTTCCTCACCTGTAGTTTGGTAACGTTAGTAATAAACCCCGCTGCAGGTTCAATAAGTTAAGCATTTATAGTTCTACGTTTAGTGTCACTTTTGTGCAAATGCATGTTGAGCTTTTTATTCTGCTTTGATGACGAAAGGAACTTTAGATTCATCAGATTGCATCGTCGACAAATCTAATGAAAGATCTACAGATCTACAGATGCCTAAAGATGGGCAGAATGGCTCCTCATTCTTTAGCACACGAGCTAAAAAAAGAACTGATAAAGGACGAGCATTTCATTAGAATTAAGGAACTCTCGCCAGCAATGACTTGTAAATGACTTGATCGCAAAGGAAATAACTTTTCTCTTCTCTTTTCTGAAGTACAACTAAATTAGGATGATGATTAGTTGCCGGATGAAAAAGTTACGAGTGATTCTATGAATAATCTTTACCACAGACACAGTAAGTTACATCACCCAGCCTCCTGCAGAAGTTCTCTGACAACTCTGTCTCCTCCAAGATGGGAACGGAAGGTCAGAAGAAGAACTGATTTGGGAATAATCCATCTAAATAATCCAATCAAAATAGGCCAGCTCAGACCATAGGCCTGCCCTGAAGCCCCCTTAAACACATGGAGGTAACAAGGGAAAAAAGTAAAACAGTTCAGGTACAATTCCAGAGTGAGAGGGCATCTTTGACTGACTGCACCTTGTTACGCCATGGCTAAAAATTCTGTGTTCCTTTAGGATTCAGAAATCAGGTCAACAAGTTAGTTGGACTCCTTGTGTTGAATTTGTTCAGAAATCTGAGGTGTTTTATTCATCTCCTATTGTCGCGTAAAGTCCATACGAACTGTTGTTAAGGACTGGTTATGTTAAGTTTAGGTTAGGACTGAATGCTCATGAGTATCCTGATTCTATTCCCCTGTGGCTGATTTCTTTAAGCCAAGCCCTGACTTTCATTCTGTAAAAACTCTCAAATGAAAAAATTTAGAGAAGTATTCCATCTCATGAAACATTCAGTGAATGCCTCAGATTTTGGTCTGTTTCACCACTTTTCTGATCATCTACTTGAACTGTCGTCTCTTTTAGTTCTCCAAAAAAGGTTGGATTGTTGCAAACTCTAAAGGCAAATGCACTTGAACGCACCACCATACGGGTCATAGTCAACGCACCCCAGCTGGTGTTTGATTCCCTGATTACAAGTTCCCTTTTTTTTAATCTTCTGTCACTCCTTGCTCTTTAGTTACTTTCTACCTGTTTAATCATTTTCTGCCTCCAGCGTCCCACCAAGTGCTTTTTTGCTGACTGCCCAACCTACAGTACCTATCGTAGCTTTTGGGATACGTTATCCAACGGGGACAGATTAAGGCCGATCACTGGGAGGTTCAAGCACCAGCAAATTCTAAGAATCCTACAGATTTCTGGGTTTTTGCTCAGTTTGAAGGTCCTTTAACTGAACACTAAAGTGGGACTGCTATCCCCCTAAGGAAGCAAAAGAAACATTTTCAAAAACTGAAAAATTGTTTTGTAATGGCTTCCATTATACCTCAACAAGACCCAGCGAAACAATCTCATCTTTGCAGAAAAGCAAGATGTTGAAAGTCATGAATTGCTGCCTGTTAAGTAAAGTGTGTGGATGAGGAATGGGGATAGTTTAGCACCTGGACGGACCTTAAAAACCTTCTAGACTCTCTGAATTCCCATTAGTCCAGCTGGTCCGAGCCCCTTCCCTCACTTTGGAAAAAAAGTGAAAGCATTTTTACATCTCAAACCGTTCGAACGTCTTCATCAGAGCTTAATCTGCAAAGAGACCTACTTGCAGTGCTAGGTTCTCACAGAGAGCAGCACACCGAAACCACTTAAAACTTAAAAATAGTAGATGTATTATCATCTGAAAAAATGTCCACCAGTCAGGGTCCTCGGCAGCCCGCGCAGGAAGTGAACCCGTTGCGAACAATTTACCTTTTGAGATTATAACACAAAAAGAAAATCAGCACTGCCCTTCAGGTTTGCAGGTTTTTACATTTTTCTTATTGTAGTCTAGATTCTTTTAACCACAATTTCCAACAATAAGGAGCTTGACTGTCTCAGGTCCGGTAAACGAAATACATAAGGAAATAAGCTAAGAGGCCCAGAAAAAATAGGCTGAAAAACATATCTATGTGGGGAATGGACCATAAGGGGGGTGGCTTATATAAAAAGGCAGAAGGGGGAACAAGAGTTGTGTGATGGAGGGGCTGAAGAACAAATGATAGCTGGAGTGGGGGTCTAGGCCCCAGTCTCCAGTCCCTCCTCGGAATAAACAGAGATAAGAAAAACGGATGGATGGATGAAATATTCCACCCATTCGTTTTCCTATACCAGCTTAATCCAGTTTGGGGGGGGGGGGGAGGGTATTGCCTGGATGGGTGGCAGGTCCATCACAGTCACAGGACATAAGACAAACTCCTGTTATTGATTCTTATAAGCTCTCCACAGCTCTTCCATTTGACCTTTTTCAACACTCTTTGCTTCTTGGTTTATTTCCATTTTGGTCTGGCGTTCGGCCTTTTTTGGGGTGAGCTCTGCTCGTGGCTTTTACCGTGGAAGATCGGGTCCGATGATGGAGGCAGGCAGATGGCCTCGCTTCCTGCCGGGTGGCAGGCGCTTCCTGTCGGGGCCCGGCCTGACTGAAAGCACGCTGAATCTCGCTCTCCCCCAAAAAAACAAAACACCCAACTAAACGATTCAACTATCCCTTCCAGATTTGACGCGTTACATTCAACGTGTTACACTCAAACTGATCTCAATTTAAAATGCCACGCAAAGGCCCGTGTTTTAGCAAATGAAACCAACTCTGTACTCTGGTTTTTTTTGCAGCAGTTTGCAGTCGGCACTTCAAATCACAGGTGCAGCACTAAGCCCTCCTGTCAGCAGAAGGGAAAAGGCCGGCCTCCATCATTCGGTCTGTGCCGTTCGGCCCTTTGCCATTAAGCCGTAATTGCAGTATTCATGTGGAAGGGGGCTCTTTTTTTTCCTTCCTTCTCTGCTTTTGGAAACAAATGGCCGAAAATGAAATCGTTCGCCCAGATCAGGTGGATCAGATTTGGTCATCTGGCTTGGAAACTCTCCTTTTAACAGAGAGAGAGAGAGTACCGATTCTGGTCACTGGTGAAGACTTTATATGGAAGATTAGCAAAAATCAGACAACCAGATAAGATAGAGATTTTTTGAGATTATTTTTGGACTGGGGTTAATGTAAGTTACAACCACTGCTATGTATGATCGCCGTTAGACTGGACATCAGGGTCTCTTTGGGGATTCAGACCACATGTAAACAGAGTCTGTGGAGCCTGACGGAGAGCCAGAGGGTCCAAAAGAGGCAGCTGTTAGATTTAAGGGGCTTTTAAGTCGATTTTATTGCGCAATTAAACACAAACGAAAAAAGAAGGAGGAAAAAAAAACTCTAAATTGAATTTTTAATCGCCTTTTTCCACTGTCTGATACTCAGACTCCCTGGGTGAGAGCATTTTAGAACCAGAACAGGATTCTGACACGATAATGAGCCTTAACTCTGACAACAGAAAAAACTCTCAACCTTCAGGCCCTGGCTGCAGATGTGGGAGAATATTAACAAAAATAGAAAGATTTGAAAAAAAAAAAACAGTGATCTGACATCTTTATGGTGGGTGATTCCATCCTTTTTTTTTTAGACACATGAGGGCTGTCAACAGGGAGGAAAATGAGTGATGAACGTGGCCGATGGGGAACCTTTTTTGAAAAATGAAGGGGGGGATTTGAACACTTCTGGCCAGGGGATGCTCTAAATGGAACAGATCTGGACCCATTTTCATCAGATTAACGTCGTGGCTCACCTTCCCCGCGCTCCTCCGGTTCCTGCCCTCGGTGCGTCCGCTCCCCGCCGCCTCTTCACTGGCCGAGTCCTCCTCCTCCTCCTCCTCCTCCTCCTCATCCTCATCCTCCTCTCCGTCCTCCAGCTCCCTCACGCCGCTCTTCTCCTCCGTCCGCAGCCGTTTGGCCGCCCGGTGGTATCCTCCTCCTCCTCCTCCTTCTTCATCCTTGTCCTCCATCACAGGCGAAATGCAAAAATTGGAGATTTTTCGATTAAAACGAGGAAGAGACGATGACACCTGCTAGACCCGTCTCTCTCTCTCTCTCTCTAACTCTCTCTCCCTCTCTCTCTCTCTCTCTCTCTCTATGCAGACTGTGGTTGTTTTTCTCCAAAGCTGCTAAAAACAGGAGGACATCTCACTCCGTCCATTTTTCTGAATCTTTTACTTTTATGTTTCGGCCACAGCCTGGTGCCAAAAATAAGAAAAATCGAACTCCTGTTACAGACTTCAGTGGAAGCTGAGTGAAATGATATGTATCAAATGATGTATACATGCATGTAACACATCTGCAAAGTCCCCCCCCCACACACACACACACATACGCACACAAAAAAACATGATCAAATGATGGAAAACCAGCTAAAGTTTGTGCTGAACATACAACAAATCAGAAACTTTGAAGGCTCGGAAAATGGAAAATCTGAATGAAACATATATAATTATACATATAACTGCTTTAGATTGTATTACTGTGGCTGAAACATGGTGGTAAGATAAAACTACCACGTGGCAAATAGGGCTGCGACATCTAACTGCAGCTTCTGTTTCAACCTAACTGGCTTGTTGATGAGAAAGAAGATTTATCATTGATAAATTCCTCATTGATAAATGAGAAATTCCTCCCACCGTCCCAAAACCTGCATGTTAGGTTGATTGGACATTCCAAATGGCCCTTAGGAGTGAGTGTGAGTGGTTGTGTGTCTCTGTGTAGCCCTGCGATGGACTGGTGGATCGACCAGGGTGTACCCTGACCATTGACTACTGGGATAGCGACCCCGTTAGGGTATAAGCGGTCACGATAATGGATGGATGGATGGATGGATTTAGTATTAAGATCTGGGAGTGTTATTGGATTGTCCCCCAGCACCACGCTTAATCCGAACCAGGTGTGCAGAAGCAGAAAAGAAGTCAGAAACGTGCGGGACGGCGGCCCCCGAGGGCCCGAGTTTGACACTCCCGCTCAAACAGAGACTGATTGTTAGCTCTGATGCTAACTGCGATGTTGCTGCTACATTGTAGGTCACCTTTTTCTAAAGTTAGATGCCATTAAATTGAACGTTTCCCTAAAAAAGAACCTTTCGTCATCATGTAAACGACTCTCGGAGAATTCCCACGTTCTGCCACCACCTGGCACAAAGAGAACATTCAAGAGATGACCACAGAACTTCTCCTGGATGGCTCCCGGCTCTGACGGAGCTGGTCACATGAAGTCAGAAGCACGATATAAGCAGGTCTTTCTGGTTTAAAATGCTGTATGTCACCATTCTGTTGCCATTAATCTTCGAATTAGATGGAGCACATATGGAAAAAGGATGGATGGATGTGTATCGTTGGGTTTTTTTCCAGCTTAGCTACCTTGGCTACCTTGGCCAGTTCATTTGTGCATAAAAACAACTAACAGAGTTTCTATTTCCTGGTTAAAAAAACACAAAAGAGCTGTTAAAAACAGTAAGAACTGAATGAGAGTTGTTCCCGATGCTGTATTTGGGTCAGTCAGTTATTTCTCTCCAGGTGTTTCCTCTTCATGGAGGTCAGGTCACCGGAGTGTCGACACACCTGTCAGACTCCACGCCAGCATCACAACAGTTGCGCCAATTTCAAACCAACTCAGGAAATGCTCCTGCGAATGTTTTTTTTCTTTCGATTCGTGAATACGAAACTGTGACGATTTCATAACCGTGCACGCAGCCCAGGTATCAGTCCTTGAAGTCAAAATAGGGTTGCGTAACAGGGTGTTCATTCAGATTCTAACTGGTTTACTTTGTATTTTTATCTCTGCTAAATTCTCATATTTGATTTTTAAAGCATATGAGACCAGCTTTTTACTCTTACCAAGTCATACAAATCCTGTATCATGAAGAAGCTGTTTGGATAGAGGCTGGGCTTTAGGTAGAATGCATTGTATGTAGCATTCATGGTTCTTCCGTAAAAAAATGTTTGCCTAAGCTTTACACTTCTTACCACCAGTGTCCAGTTTCACTGCACACAATGGCTGTTTTGGCTATCACTGAACCAACTGGCTTGACCGCATCATGGTCCAGTAGCCATAGTCCACCGTGTTGAAAACAACTAAAAACTGGAGATGTGACTGGAGATGGATAGATGTGAGTGGCACAGAAACCGGCTTCAGGCCTCAGGGTGCATATTTTGTGACACCATCACAGCTGCAGACGTTTATGGTTTTCTTAACAAAGTGACACATCTTTTCAAATAAACCACCTTTGGGTTCACTGACACATCCTCCCACTCTCTCCTTCAAGTCTCCTATAGAGCGATGTAAAGTCCCACCCCAGAACTGATTTGACCAAAATCTACAACGAATTAACTACAATATTGTCTAATCATTTCGTACATCTTACCTCCTCTCCCCGGTTATTGGATGATAACACATTTATTTTATTTTTTTTCCTGTATGACAAACGCACCACATCCTGACCCAATGCAAAAGCAGTATCTCAACACACGATGAAACCACACACAAAAAAAAAAAACGTGAAATCTGTGTCGCAGAAAAACGACACGAGATGATGAAACTGCTCAGAGATGAAAAAGTGGGGGACAGCTGAGGATGCGAAGGCGCACCGACGGTCAGATACCACCAGGTGGCGACACTGGCCTGCTTTAAAAAAGAAAAAATATATATATTTTTTAATTTTTTAGCTCAGAGTGCCCTTACAGGTCAGATCAAACCAGCAAAAAAAATACATTAATGAATCAATAAATTAATCAATAAATAAATAGATAAATAAATAAATAAATAAATAAATAAATAAATAAATAAATACAAATAAAACGGCAGGGGAATGACACACATGGTGAGAAGACAAGCAAACAAAGTAACAGAATTTAACCAGAGATATTTTGGTGCACCACATCTGTGAGTAGACCAGGGAAAGAAACCAAAGAAACCAAAATATAATGATCGCTTTAGATCAACTCCTAGGAGGGGTGGTTGTAGCTTTCCTGGTGCCTGTGGGGGCTTTTTTTTCAGCGTAATATGTCAGAACAAAAATAAAACTGATCTCATAATATGTAAAAAGACAAAATTTGTGTGAATAACTGAGATCATGAAATCCAAACACCTTCTTCACAGGGCTGCAAGTAACAAAATGAACACACAATACTTAAATACAAGTAAAAGTATAGGAGAAAAATATACGATTTATAGCAAAACAGTGCACTTTGAGTAAACTCAAACATAGTTTGAATGAGATTTTCTGATGTTTTATACATATCCTGGAAAGAATGGAAGGTTGTGAGACGGCCGATGGAAAAGAAAAAAAAAGAGGGTGTCTCTAACTTAGTACGCACATCTAACTAAAGATCAGTTATCGAGTAACTGTTGCCTTGCTTCATTTACATTTGATATGTTCCCAAAATTACAGCCATTGATTAATTGTCCTTGTGTGACATAATACAGCCAAGAAGGAAAAACTCTGATATGACTTTTCAAGTTTGTTTAAAGTTTCTGACCAAAATCATGAGATTCTCCCCCATCGAGAAAGATGGAAGTTTTTTCTTTCTTTTTTTTTTTTTTAGAGAAATTGATTAGATACAGTTTATCACTGTCATTGTCTGTGATTTCTGGCTTGTTTCTTCCATTTTCACCAGACACGCTGTGCTATTTCCCCCTTTTTTAAAAGTCTTTTGTTACAACTGAAGGAAGACTTGGAGTTTAAGTAGAGGCCTTTAAATCTGAAGGGTTCCACTGATCCACAACTTCCTCAGTTTACATATAAAGTTCCCTGTTGAGTGTTTTAACTTTGAAATTAGGCGTCATTCTGCTTCATTTCAGAAACTTTCATTGTTTTTTTTCCATTGTGTTCTCTGTTATTCTTTGAAACTTTTGTCACCCACCTGGTCTCTACTATTGCCTCCTATTTCTTGTGGATTTTTCTTTTTATAAAATAGTCTCTGTCTTTTTAAACAACTCTTATCAATCTTTCAACCTTAAATCTTTGATAATGATGCTGTTTCCTGGAGGGAAACACACTGATTTACGTTCTGAGAGTAAAGTTAATTTTGTGTTTATTAAGCTTAAACTCTTCTTAAGAATGATTATTAATTTGTGCAAACCTTTGGGTGATGGAGGAGGTTGAGGCTCTAAATAGCATCCCTCCTGGTGCCCTCTGTTGGGGTTTTTTTTGGGAGTATCCCTAAGGGAAGGCCTTTCCCACACTTCTTGATTTTCATCATGTACCAAGTGTGAGACCGGAGAAATTAGTAATCCCTCTGATGGTGGGATGGAGAATGCTGGAATTGGATGAATGTTTTATCTAAATCCTTATGTGTGATGGATTTTTGGCTTATCTTCTGTTTTTTGTCCCAAGTTTTGACTTTTCCCTGTTTGTTTAGGTCATTTACTGCCATCTGAATTGTATTTTCGCATTGTGAGTTTTATGGTGTTTGGTTATTTGTGAGTCCTTCCTTTCCTTTTGTGTTCTCTGTTCCCTGCCCTTTTCATCCAGTCTCTTCCCAATTCCTCTTTGTTGCCAGCTTTTTCTGTGCCACAGTTCAAGTTCAGATATTCCTGCCTTCACTTCTCACTCCTCTCTAAATAAGCTCTCTGCTTCGTTCATTCCTTTTTAATCGTTTCATTGCCCCATGCTTTCGGTTTCTAAAAACTTTGGTGTTTGTTTTCCGGCTGTGTAGTTGTTTTTCCTTCGTGGATCCCTTCCTCTCGAGTCCCTTGTTGTTCTCTGTGGTCTTCGGACTGCAGCTGCATCCTATCATCACCCTGAGGCGCGCCACAACACCAGTCTGCTTTTCGCTTACACTCCGTGTAATTTTGGATTCTTGGAGTGGCTGGATGCCGCAGTGGTGAAAACTACTGGATTTGGAATAGCGGCTCTGGGGGGCTCCGAATCCTGAAAAGATCCCGTATGCTACCCCAAACCTACCTTAATTGTGTGTTTTAGGTCACTTTGGGTAGAGGTTTCTGCTAAATAGACGAGTCAAATCGTTCGCTAATCTGCCTTAACTGCGGCTTTTGATCTGATTTCATAAGTCTGTTTCCACTCCCCTGTGGTCTGTATCTGCACCCTTGGGCCTTCTCCACCCCCCCCAGACACGCACATTTGAGGAATCAGAGCTAATTCAACCCAATTTAACAGAATATGTTATGCCCAAAAAAGGG